AAATTATCAGGCAGCAGGTTAAACCAGAGGGAGGTTTATTCTGTCTACTCATACAAGGTGCATACTGAAACTGTGGAAGTCCTTGCACAGCCACCTCTGAAGAGCAATTGCTTGACCGAGGACTCGGACGTCACAAGAGAAGAGAGCTCGTCGAGGGCAAGTAAGCAAAGCACAGCGGTCACCTTCTCGCTGGCTCAGGAAGCGCCTCGCTGGGAGCCATCCCGGTGGGCCACACCACGGGCGCCTGTCCCGTCCTCACGCCCGGTGCCGGACGTCCCCACCGGAGAGGTGGTGCGAGGCTGCACGGAGCTGCTCCGCACATCTGTGTGCGGGGACCGGGCAGGCGTCACCCTGGCTTCCTCTGGGCACACCCAGCCCGTGCATCAACACAGCCCCACGGCACCGCGCTGCTTCACGTGTGCCCAACGGCTGCCTCTTCCCTTGTGCTGGTATTTCCCTTTATTTCCCAGCAGACACAAGAAATGCTTTTTTTGAGACTTTCCCTCAACCGCAGCGCGTATCTGGAAGCCTCATCTAACAGTGACGTCAACCTGGTCTGCGCTTGCCTGGCTGGGAGCAACGTCCCCGTGCTGTGCCGTGTCCCTGTACCTCCCCGCAGGCTGGGGTTACGTCGCCAACAGCAGTGCGTACCGTAACCGCACCCCAGCCTTGGTCCGTGCCTTGCGCTGCCCTTGGAGATGCCGAGCGGGAAAGAGCTCCTTGGGTGCCGGCAAACGCTCCCGCTGCAAACAGCCTCAGCCACGCACCCGGCGCAGGGCCAAAGCACGAAGCGGCAGCATCAGCAGCCTCCGGGACCACGCACAGCTTCAGCTCCTGCGACCCCCAGGGATAGGGAAGGCTCCCCTGCACCACCCCCTCCCAAGACCACAGAGTTAAGCCACGATGTGGGATTACCGGGTGGCCTGAGCTGCTGGGCACGCGTGCCCGGCTGCCAAGATGTGCCGGGCAAGGGCGGTACGCAGTCCTGACCTACAGGCAAGAGAATGATTCTCTCTTCTACGGAGACCAGGAGCATAACAGCGCTCCAACAGTGCTCGCTGCGATTATGACATCTCAAAGGCCACCAGGATGAGGGGGGCTTTTTTGGACCCACCAAGGATTGTGGTGGTTGGTGGTTGTTTACTGTGGTCAGCAAAATTACCAGGTAGCATCCCCACTCATGGTCGAGCTGGGAAGAACAGGGAGTGATTTTCAGCTCCCAGCTCAAGCCTGCAGTACCGGCAGAAAAAAAATCCTACTCTGAGATGCAAATGGAGCAAATTTGCCACTGGAGCCACTGGCTAAGTATGGATGTTATCCCCTCAAATGCTATTCCTACAGTCAGCCTGACCACAGCCACACTTCCAATGCGAGCACACTGCAAATCCAGAGGGGCTCTGACTGACGATCTTGTCTCATCCTCCTTAGGAAACTGCAAACTTCCATTTCTTTAATCTAATCATTTGCAGGAGGAGATACTTTCTTTAGACAAGGCAATATAAAAGGGGCCTGAAAGGTCAGATGGGATAATATGTAATCCATTGCGATAAGGGCTGTTTACAGAATTATTAATCAAACACAAAAGGGAACAGATAGTAACATTTTTTATTAAATATTACAGTGGATCAAAAAGTACAAAATATCTTTTGCCTGCTATGTGATTGGGAAACTATTGGCACATAATACAGTATCAAAAGCATTAATAAGTACAATTTGGAAAACATACAAAAATTGAGTGTTTATAATTGGCTCAGCTTTATTTCTGGTAGTGTTTAAACTAAAGCAAAGGTTACTCAATAACCTTTTAAATGGGAAACTATATAATATTACTGGGCCATTTTTATATATACAAATCATCACCTTACAGAGCATATAGGCTACATAACTTGAATCACAAAAAGTATACAATATTTACAACAAAAGAAAGTTAAAAAAGTATAAACAGCTAGTAGATTATGCTGCCATTATTAGAACATATTTAAAACTGCGGAGCTGGGGGGAGAGGGGAGGAGGAGGAGGAAGAGAACGAGTGAAACACCAACCACGTGTACAGCAAACACCGCAGGAAGCGCTCGTGGTAGCGCCGCCAATGCCGCCCGCCTCACACCCGCGCCAGAAGTCCCATCGCTCATTAAAATCACGACAATCGCCAAACAGGACCAGATACAACCTCGCTGACCACCGCAAAGGAAGGGACCAGGCGGGGGAGCGGCGAGGGGACCCCGGCGGTGGTCTGCAGAGGGAGCAGCCCCGCGCCCCCTGACTGGGGCAGGGATGCCGGCAGAGGGGCTGCCCAGCTGACTTCTCTGCAGCTGTGACAAACGATGTCCTAGGTACCCGCACACCGGGCAAACTTCTCGTGTCAGGCCGGGACGCAACTAAGACAGACCTGCTGCGAAAGGCTGGCTTGCTCCCCGCCAGCCTTGCTAGGGGGACGGAACTTCCCCGG